GTATTTGATTTCCCACCCCCTCCACCGGCCCCTCCCCTCCGCACTCCCCCTCCCCACCCTCCTCCCAATAAGTCCCCTGTCCATTCCACCATTTTCTTACTTCACTTCCTCCACCACAGATCAAGAAGGTTGGTTGGGTTAGTTTCAGAGGAAGAAAAATCAATCAGCAAAAACCATACTCCACTCTCCGGCCTCCACCTCCCCCCTTCCCCCCCCACCTCTTCATTGGAATCATCTATGCTCTGATGTGAACAGCCAGAGAATGTCTTTAAAGTCAAATGGGCTCGGCCTGCTTCGGAATCATTAGGATTTGCCTTTGGATTTAGTATTGCCATCTCTGGGGAGAGAAAATAATTGCTTCCCCCGATGTTGTTCATCTGTTCCCAGTGAAAAATTCAAAAATGTCCCTCCTCTTGCTTTCCTCTTCTCCTGACTTCCATCAAAAGTCCCAGACACATCATCATCTGCAGCAGATCTCCTTTCTTAAATGAAAAAAAAAATCTGTTGTTTCTAAGAATCCTCATTTGGTAAATCCTAATTATTCCAGGATCTCAAGCCGAGTTCAAGAGCATTTCGTAATGTCTGTGAGCCATACATACCAGTCGAGGCAGTTGGCTGCGTGTGTGTATTGTGTGTTTTAACATTTACAAAGTCTAAAAATACATGCGTCTCTCGAAGGAAACAAGCCCAAGTTCTAATAAACAGCGATTCACTTGCGGTTAGGCTGAGAACCAATCTCTCTTCCACACAGAGTGACATGTCTGTTATCCAGAAGCCAGTCGAGTCAGCATTGTGCAGGCAGGCAGGGAGGAGGGAGGTGAGAGCATGGGGAGGCTGAGGGGGGAGTGGGGCAGCAGTGGGATGGGGTATCAGCTGCTGGCCTTGATCTTGCAGGGTCGTTGAGGCATGTGTGCATCTGCCCCCACTGTGTGAAGGATGGGAGACCAGGGAATGGATGAAGGCATGTGGTTCTGGGACACATTAATAAGCCCAGAGAGGAAAAAAAAAGACTCCGCAGGTCATACAACCTGCATTTAGCGGCAGACTTTAACGTGCCTTTGCGTAGCTCTCTCCATGTGCAGGCCAGCCACCCATAGGCAGACAGGAACAGAGAAATCCATATGCTTCTATGTGGGAAGCAGAGCTTGTGTGCCTTCCTTCTGATGCTGCAAACCAAGACCGGAGGCTGTTTGAGGCAGTGTCGGGAAGCGGGCACTGCAGGATTGTTTGTGAGGCTCGACATGGGAGGGATGCAGTGAGTTGGGGCTGGGAGATGAGGAGAAGAGAGAAAAAGAGGTGCAAGAGGGAGAAACTGATGTGGCCCCAGGGTCTAACCCAAACTGAGCTGAGCTGCTCTTTGAGAAATGGGTACTTGTGGGCAAAAAGCACAAATTATCCACCCCCTTCCCAATATTCTTGGTGCAAGCAGTTGAGTGATGGCTGAACATGTTTTGAATAGCTAAGTGACTTCATTGAGCGATGGTCTCTTTGACGCATACTGCATTTGGTGCCCTTTCTCAATCCAAGCTGCTGCCTTTAACATATTCTGCAGAGCAGCTCTATGCTGAATACTACATGCTCCTCCCCAGCCAAAGAGTCAATCTGACGAAATGAATAGGGACCGTTTTCAACACATGCACACACACCCCTCCTTTGAAAAATGAAAAGACTCATACCGCTAGTCATTAGCAGTGGAAAGACCCTTTCCAGTTAACTGAACATTTATGACAGACCTTTATTCCAAAAGAGAAGGAAAGCAAAGTGAATGAGGGCTGCTGGGGGGGAAAGGATCCTAGTGTTGACTTGTCTTGCTTGGATTTTAGTTAGATGGATGGAGATGTACAGCTGAGAGATTACAGGAAAGACAAGACTTGATTTCAAGGGAAACATAATCAGATATTAGTGAGCTGGTATAAATATCCTTCTTGTATCAGAACTTTATTTACAAATCCTTAATGCTGTGATCTTTTAAACATCTCATAATTCCCAGAAGACAAGCAGACTAGAGGTGGCTTTGGATCACTTGTGCATTAAAAGGCTTAAGCGTTTTCATTAAAATCCCATCTGTGTGGCGTCCACATCCCCAAATGCACTGCACACCCCCTCTAACTTTCTCTCCAAGCTGCACACCCTGTCCCTCCCTGCCAATCTGTAAAGGATTGGAATAGCAACCCTTCCCAAGGAGAGGAGCTGAGGGTTGGCACTGGCCCTGGTGGTCTCCCTGGGTGTTCAGCCCTGGGGCACTCGCCTCCAAGTGGAGGGGGGGAGGGCTGGCTAGGCTCTCCCCTGGGTCGATTGTCCCTTTTCACAAGGCAGGAAAAGGTAGTGCTCAGGGCCCCAGTTGAACCTGGCCTTCAGTTTCCGAAGCCTCTCTTCATAGCCTCTCTTCATATGGGGTTTGACAGACCTCAGGCCACCAGAGGGGGCTGGGCCTTGGCCACTCAGGAAGTGGTTTGGAGATTTTAAGCTGCTTATTTTCAAGTTGCACTGATATCTAAATGTTGTAAGTTCACTTATTTCTGAAAGTTGGCAGAGACAGCCTTGGAGGGAGGTAATACGCTGGCCTTTCTGGCCACTCAGGCAGGCCTTTAGGGACATCCAGTTTCTGGTATTTTAGGCCCTCTGGCTTGTTTTTTGGTGAGACACTGGAGTTTCCCAAAAGATTCTTCCACCACCTCATTAATTGTGTTTCCTACCCATTCCTAAGAAGTTGTGGACAGATTTTAAATCTTCTCTCAGAGAAGCTGGTAATGACTTCAGATGAAAAACAAGTCATCTTCCTCTGATCTCTTCAGCACTCTGGTTTTCATTAGGGCTTTTTGTCTCCTGAGATGATTATTTTTGTTCACCTCTTGATGAAAATAAGAATTGGGAAGTAATTCTTTGCCTGTGCTGCTGCTTCTGGAATTAATTAGTGAGCTTCAGAGTGAGAAGGGACATGGCCACCTGTTTTGGGGCAGGCACGTGGGGAGGAGGACGGGGATGGAGAAATAAAAGCCCAATGTTTCTTTTTCTCCCCGAGGAGTAGATGCCTAAAATGTCCCTGTGCGCAGGGACTTGAACTCCTAGGCAGGCTACTGTCCTCAGTGTGCTCTGAGAAGTACCCAGGGGCACAGGTGGGTGCAGAGCGGCCGAAGAAAGTCCTGGGCTTCTCAAGGAAGCAGCACGGGGACTCTCCGAATGCAGAGATGAATTGGCCCTTTCAGGGAAAGGCTCAATAAAATCTACAACAGGGCTCCAAAACAGCTGTTTCCAAAGGAGGCTTCTCGGGGCTGCTGGAGCTCTGCTGCTCAGAGCATTAACCTCTGTCATCATATAAAGGAAGCGGTGTGTCCAGGGGTAGCCAGACTTCTGTGTCGATTCTCTCCAGTGCGTCCCTCCCCTCTGTCCCTGTACCTGCTCCAAGCGTTCCCCCAAAGGATTTCCAGCCCTGCAGTGGAGGAGCCTGAAGCTGGTACAAAGTGTCTGAAGCAGAGGCAGGGCCACCAGTACCCCTCTCTTTGCTCTGCCCTTTGCATTACTTGCTGTCTACCCAGGCTGGTAAAGCCCCTCTGCTGAATCGTCCAGCTCCTCCAGCACCGTGGGCTTCTCTCATCTCCCCTATGCAGGCTGGTCGCTCATGGCCATTCTGCCAGCCGTGGCTGCATCCTGGCTCTCTGTGAGCATGAAGAGTCCATTGGCCCAAATTACCTTTTCCAAGTTCACAGCCCACCTGGCCTGGGAGGTGCTGGGGTGTTTCAGATTCTGCTCAATCGTGGCTCGCTGGTTCTGCTGAAGGCAAGGGTAGATTTCAGTTTTAGGAAATCAGTGCCTGTGAATGTGGCAGGGGGAATGTGGAGGGGGTCCCGGGGCCAAGCCTGTATACACATGCTCTGTGAGCCCCAAAATAACCTGACTTTCTTTCTTTGCATGCAGTGGGTGTATAGGAAGCATTTATCAATGGATTAATTCAGAACTTCTTAAAGTACCGGAGTAAATGTAATGTCACAAGAATGTGTCACAATTGAGAGTGAAAGAGAGAGGAAGATGACTTGTTTATTCTTCCTGGAACGTCTTTCTAAAAAAACTAATGAGTCAGGATTCTATTTTATAAACTAAGAGAATTCCAAAGGAGTCGGTCCACGGAGCTCCTAACTGGCTGAAGGGAAAACAAACTATTTAAGGAAAAGAAGGGAAAGTGGTCAGCGTGCTCAGCCTCTCCAGAGAAGGAAAAATAACCAGTTGATTTTCTTCCCTTTTCTGCTTTTAAAATGTACTGAAGTTCAGTTTTACCTTCCTGCTCACTGAAATAGATCCCTCTGGGCAGAGAGTGGGCATTATAATGGGCCAGCCTAATGTAGCTGTTCCAGAACCTTCCATTCCTCAGCAAACCTCACATCCAACTTGCAGCACACTGCGAACCTTCCCTCTGGGGCTTGGGTTCTAATCAGCAGTTTTTCACAGAGCCAGACCCAGCGTCGCTCACCTTTCACACCTGCGAGCCCCCACTGCTCACACAACACTCTCTGCCCTTGCTTTGGATGTCTAAGTGAGAGGAGGAGGCCCTGGGGAACAAGTGGCCCTTCTAGGTCACGGGGACAGAAAGCAGCAGAGCCAGAACTCACACCCAGGCCTCTTGTGACCCGGGAACTGGATTTCCCAGCTCCACACACCCTACAAACCTCCAGAGGGCTCTGTAGCACTCCCCAGCCCACTGCCTACACATGCCATGAGCAGGAATCCTCTTCTGTTTGTGTCTAACGATGGGTGGTTTCTGAGCAGTCAGCCTCAGCAGTCAGGAAGCAGGGCTCTGCACCCCCAGCTGTCATCCCCAGCCACCCTATACCCTCTAGAGTGACTTGACTCTGCCCTTAGCCCCCTGTCCTTTGAGCTGAGGAGCTGAGGCTAAAAGAACACAATGCCCACTTTCTAGCATTCAACTGCAGGCCTGACCCACCCAATGCTCTTCCTTTTGCCTTTTATTTTGGAAGCACCCTCAGTGTGAATGAACTTTCTGTCAG